TGTAAGCTGAGAGACAGTTTTTTCCTTCTTTTTTTTTAAATTTCCTCCCGATATTTGTTTTGAGACCCGTTCCTGTTGTTATACCTTGAGTTTATTCCTAAATGGAATGTCTTGCTCTCTGTTTTAAGGTTTTGGTCGTCATACTTGACTAAATAACGTAACAGGAAGAACCGATCTAACTTGTATAATTTTTGAAAAATAACACCACGAAAGGTGCAGTCTTGTTTGGCACTGCTATTTTGGGGTTCTGCGTGAATAATAAAATGGCCGAAGGTAAATAAGAGACTTTGAAATACAAGGGAGTGCTATAAAGGTGTTATGCGGTGTACAAGCTGGACTCCAACACGAATTCACAGTCGTTGAAAGTATTGTTCTGCTGCAGTTGAGTGGACAAAAATGGCATAATTAATCGCATGTAAGGAAAAGAACCCGTTGTGGGCCTAATACAAATCGGATTCCATAGCGTGTTTTCTCGCAGTGCATTATTTTCTGTGCCGAGCCTTCAGGACTGTTTGCCTTAATATCGAGCAGTTACTTTCACCATCAGATTCTTGACAATCGGACATTGCTCTCACAAAATGGCAATTTTTTTCGAATACAGGTCGGTCAAAAATGTTAAAGGATCCAGGAAATGAGTTTTTCTTAGAATCACTTTTTGTGTATCTCTGTACTCTTCTTCCATGTATGAAGACTGTTTGACATCTTTTTTGAGTTACGTGAACTGAACGGTGCACTTTTCAAACATTAAAATTGACCAAGTATTTCTGGTCAAGTGCGTAGAAAAAAATGCCTGTATGTTTAAGAGATGAATACAGCAGTGAGTGCTTCAGTTTCCATTGCTTTATAAATATTACAATCAGTTGTCACATGACGTATTGTGTGCTCTGAATAATTATTATGTGAATTCTGTGCTGTGGCCACACTAGAAGGTAAGTACGCCACGAAAAAGCTAGGGGTGACTGCACCCATTAGGTGGCTGCTGCCCCTCTTCCCAGAGCTCTATTGAATTATTCCGCAGGTCTATAGGCCTAGACATTCTTGTCATGGGCCCTTACTCCGGACCCCAACACCAATTTGCATAGCGCTGGTAAGACCGCCAAAGCCTTGCATTTTTTGTTGGTTAACAAATTCAGAGATAGAAAGCGGAAGGAGGAGGGAGAGAGACGCTAAAGCTTTTGAAAACTGTTGTAATGTGCAGAGTTATTTCATTATTAACATAATAAAATTAACACATTTCTTATGTAGGCGTAGTGTATGGTCTCCGAAATTTTCTCAAGCCCTTGGCAGCGTTCACTGTAAAAATTCTGGTGTCAAAATCAACACTTTTTGGTGTTTTCAGATGGCCACATTCTAGGGTGTTACTTTAGCACCGCCGGTGTTACTTTGTACACCTACAAGTGTTACAATGCACTGGAGGATATTAAAAGTAATACCAAATAACACCAACATTTTTAACACCAGTGAAAAGTGTTGGTGTAGTCCTCTGATAACACCGGGAGTGTTAAATTCAACACTCCAGTTTTTGCAATGTTCCTGTTTTTGCATTTGGGTTTTCTGGCTCTTCCTCTCTGTCCACATCTATTTGATCCCAAGAGGTAACTCGAGAAGTCCAATCCCACGTAGAACAAATATGTCTTCCACAATTTAAAAGTCAAAATAAACACGCGAAGTACGTGAGCAGCACGTACCCATAGCGAGCGGCCTTCTGTTCTTCTCTGGTCGAAAAGCTCAACAAATTTAATGTAGGTCAACTAGTGTAACTGTTTAACATTATTCAGTCTACAGCGGGACAATCTTCTTTCATAGCCTGCCATGCTAAAATCTTTGATCTCATAACCTCCTGAAAAAGGACACATTGCATATCATATCTCTAGTAAAAACAAACAAACAAACAAACAAACAAACAAACAAACAAACAAACACCCCAACAAACAAACAAACAAACAAACAAACAAACAAACAAACACCCCAACACCCCAACAAACAAACAAACAACCCAACACCCCCAACAACCCAACAAACAAACAAACAAACACCCCAAACACACCAACAAACAAACACATAGTTTCATATAATGCAAAAGAAGGCTGTTCGTGAAATTACAGTTAATTAACAACCTGTTAAACAGAGTCGACAATCAATCGTCGGTATAAAAGAAAACCCTTGTCTCCCAATAATAAGCTACCGGTTGATCCCCTCCCTCGATAAAATAGAGCAATTCAGGGTTGTTGAATACAGTTGTCTGCACTTTGTTTTGGCCTGAACTGGTCTTCTGAAGAAAGAGCAATCGCTTGTACTTCTGGGAAAGAGTAAAGCCACTAGATATGAAAGTAAATCGACGCAGGTCAGTCACACGTGGAAATTCTGAGATAAGATTAAAGCCAACCTTTTTTTTCATTTTGCACTTTATTCTTTTAGCCCGTGCTGCGGGCTAATTTCCAACTTGCCCCAGGACACTGACGGCGCAACCCAAAGGGGCCGCTACGGTGCCGGTTTTAATAGGAAAGGTCAATAAATATCGGCTCCAACTCGATGTCGCGTTGCCGTGATGAATTGCTTTCTAAGTTAATTTTGACCTCCCAAAGTGGGTTATAAAAAGACGGCCTGTTGGTGTGCGAATGGATACGGGTGAAGAGTTCGATTACCGCATGCCAACTCTGACACGTTCTCGCAAACACAAAGAATATGTAAGAATAGAATTTACACAAGTTTAAAAGAACTGTCCATGCAGGAACTAATTTCAAAGTTCTTGCAGGTCTCCAATTCCAAGAAAAGGTGGCCTCATTTTCTGTCAGATTTGAATTACAGTTTGGGTGCAGACCGATTCATGCCTCTTATGCAGTACTGCTCCCAGGGACAATGTGGCAAAATTTAACTTATGGCAAAATTTAACTTACAATGTATGCGTGCAAACCGAAAACATACTTAGCGGCATGCCGTGGCATCATGTTATGATCACAGATAGTTCAGCTGACATCTATCAGCACAGGTGGAAAAAAAAAAAAAACGATTTTTCGGGCAAACTTTCTAAAAGAAGAGATGGCGAGGTAGGCCCACACCACATCCTTCCAAAACGAAATAAGATAAAGTGTTCCCACCCACAATATTACAGAAACAGACTCAGAACTAAAACACCTAGAAACAATAAAGAAAAGAGTTTATTCCTTAAATCTCCTCTCAATCCCTTGCCATGCTCCGAGCAAGTAACCGTCTCAAATTTAGATGGAATGATATTCCTGGGTAAAACGGGGATCATTTTTCCTGCACTAATTTTCTGTAGTGCGGAGAAGGTCAACTTACTTGCTTCTGAAAGCGTTTCATTGGAAGTGTTGTTTTGAAGGCATGCACGAGTCAGTATAATAATTAATATAAAATATAATATATAAAATAATGAAAGCAATAATTCAAACTTACGCCACGGCCTTTGTAATACATTGGACCCATAGAAATACTATTCGAAGATTTTTTTAATATCAATTTAAAGTAATAACTTAAGAGCACCATTACTTTAAGCATAATGTTCGTTTTATTAATTTAAAGTAATAACTTAAAGAGCACCATTACTCCACGCATAAAGTTCGCTAGCCGAAAATGGACCCAAGTTGAACGAAAAATTCGCAATTTGCCTCCGAGTGCAGTGCAACCGTCACTTATTCGATGGGTTGCCTTTACTGTCTCCAAGCTTTGGCTGGAGGCAAACAATAACTTCTGCCCTCTGGCTATAGACTGGCGGGAAAAGCAAATAGCCTTAGTTACTGGGCAATACCCATGGGAAAAAAATCTCATTACCTCAGTCTGTATTTTGGGGACAGTAAGAGAGATTCGGCCGTGTCCATAAAGTATCTCGGGAATTAGAGAGTGATCACTTGGTGATGAACTTGCGAGTCTCAGTCAGAGCATCGATGCTGCTCTTCGAGCGTAGGCCTATGTCAATTTTACGGGGTTATTCTGCTGCCTGCGAATCGCTTCAACACCAGGCCTCAGCCCTTTTCAGGTGTATACCATCTCTGTTAACACTTCATGAGAGGTACTCCGCATCCCTTGACAAATCCAGTGACGTTTCACTGGACAGTTCCCGATGAAAATTAGCGTGCTGGTTTGGTTGGAAGAGACTGTCCTGAAACAGTGGCTCTATACCAGATTTGTCAGATTGCTTTAGACCACTATTTGCGGAGGCCACCGCAAATTAATAGGGATTTTTTACTCTCTATAGAGCATGCCTAAAGCATTTTGGTACCATGCAACCGCTCCCCCCCCATAGTCTAACAAAGGAGCGAGGGAAGCATCCCTTTCTCATACGCAATATCTGACACTTCTTGACCGCACAGGGAGTTGCTGAGAGGCCAAAGCTAAAAGACAAGAATACAAACTCTTTGTATTATGTTGTCCTCAGCTGTCTCTAGATGCGCCATCTCTTGACCTTACGCAGTTTTTTCACATTACCTTATACCTAAATAACACTTACCAGACCTAGCAATTTAACACAACTGCAGTTAATTTAATAACTCTCACTGGAACCATTCAGGAACACAGTTTCAAATGGAACTAAGTTGAATTCTTACAAATGGGTCATTAGGGAGACATTTTGTGGTAAATTTTTCAACCTTTGGGAGACATTGGTCATTAGGGAGACATTTCAACGTAGGACAGTAAAGTTTGTGCACGTTCTTATGGGAATGTCTCCCAAGTGACCCATTTTCGGTAATGAAAATGACCAAATCATTAAAACAGGAATTAGTATGCATGGCGGCATTCAAAAGAGCCTGTGCTGTTTCTTTCAACAAACGAGCAGATCCACCCCCTCTGTTCCCCACTGGAACTTACCAACAGCCGACGCTCAAAAATGTTGAATGCTTTTCGCGGTCTTCTACCCAGTACATCTACTACCATGGCAACTCAAAAGCTTCATCTCACCCTAATTGGCATTGCGGCTGAGCGCATCATTGCGTTTGGCATTTATAACTGCACGCACCCCCAGTGCAATCAGTCTTGTACAGGGGTGGCGAAATGACGGGAGAAAACGGCCAGTGACAAGCGAATCAAGTGCGATCTGCCGGCAAACGCTTTCACAACACATTCAAATAATCGAACACGAGTCGCCTTTGACCAGTACTGGGATGGCAGCGTGACAAAGAGGGACTGCCGAAAAAAATTCTATTCTTCACGCAACCTTGTTATTAAATTGACTGAATTTTATGGCTAGATAATCGCCATGGATACTGGCGTATGCCTACACGGGGTGTCATGATTTTCTCCGTACAGTCTTTCTCAAGCATACAGGTAAGAACACGATCATTCAAGCTTCGTGTTTCCGTTTTACACTCCCCGTCGTTGTTTTCTTTCTCTTTTCCCTGTTTTCGTGCCGTCAGAATGGACAAATGTTTTGACTTTAGAATTGAGAGAATAATTAAGCTTCAGATTTGACTTCAAGAACCTGTTAGTAATGAACAGAAATGTTGGTAGAGAGAAATATTAAGTGTTGGTGTGACTGTAAGATTTTAAAGCAAAATAATTTTCCTCATGTACAGTCGGTAGATTCAGTGATTAAAGATACTAAGAGCAGTGCCAGCCTAAAATGTGATTTTGTACATTCCGAAAATGGATGAGCGACCATAGAGCTTAAAAATTGACCCCTGAAGGGCGCGCTTCCGGAACCTTTGGATAGGAAAAATAACGTGCAAAGATTGTAGAATTTTTGATATTTTCTCCTTCAGATTCTTCTTAAAACACCGAACTTGAAAAGAGGGCTTTGAAAAATATTTGCTGGTATATCATTTTATAGAAACTGTAAAATTACTTGACCTAAAAGAGAAATATACTGCCAAAATGGACCCAGCACTTCCAAAAATCTAAAATACATGAAGAACCGTGCAGTGCGGCAGTCTTGTTCGCAGATGAACCTTTACGGTTTGAAATTTTATGGTAGTCTGTGGGTAAAAGTCGAAATAAAAACAGATCAAAATATTTTACACACTTTGATAATTTATAGGGTAGTAAACAAAAAGCAATATTCTACTTTTACGAAAGATTCTTATATTTTATCTAACTTTTGCTGACAACTCAACGGAATCTGGAACCCATCGACGGCAGGTATAGGTAATATCTCAGCAAGGTTGTACGATCTCGTTTTCTGCATGAACAAGGAGACCTAGGTAGGATACGCCGGACGTGAAAGGTCGTTACTAAAATTCGTTTTTTACCCATTTCCAGGTGACTATTCCAAAATATAACTTGAGGAAGACAAAGGTAAAAATCCAACCTGAGTGTTTCATAGGGTGGTTTCAGTAAGGAATTATTTTTCTCAAAATTATCGAACATGATAGGACGGCCCAATGTAAAATCCCCATAGGCAGACCGCGCAAGGGTTCCGGAAGCTCGTTGTGTGACCTTTTACTTTCAGGCTCTATTGTACATGATACAGGCATTTTGCGCTCTGCATGAATATTTAAATAATCATTTTGGCGGTGCCGCTTTCAATTCCAACTTTTTTGGCCCCCTACTGGACTTGGAGCAACATCAGAGCATTTGGGGCTGAGGAATCCTTGGAAACGTTCTTGGTTTTCTTATATCGTGGGAGGTAACTGAGTCAGAGAGGGGAAAAGACCAATTTCATGCCCTAAGGGCCTTGGGAAGCAATTTATTTCTCATGCATGAAAAGGTATGCATTTTTGGCTGTCGGTAAAATAGATCTTGTGCGAGAACTGAATATCATTGTTAGAAATTGGTGTCAACATAACCTAAAAATTTCACTTGAAAATCTTCCTTAACCCTGACAGTCTCCAGTCCTCCAATAGCTGAAGGGATGAAGAACTGGTATAGTAAGGCGGGGCGCGTGAAAAAATGCACTGCAGCGATATGTGACGAATTGTCGGGGGCAGATTACGCCCCTAGTTCTTGTAGGGTTGATATCCAGCTTTCGAGTTAAAACAGAGGGTGGGTAGACTCCCTTCACTGTCCCCCAAATGAGATCTGAAGGGGCGGAGTCTGCTCTGACTGAGAAAAGATACGTTAAACAGCTCCTTTGAGTTCAGGTCAGATTCTATTGACTTACTGGAAGGCTGTTTGGATACAGATCGCACCGGAAAGGTGCTCCTGCATGGCATGTGATCAAAGTCTTGACCCATTTTACAAATGAACCAATCTAAAGATTATGTTTTTCTTAAGCGAGGCAGTACGAATTTCTTCTCACACGGTGGCTGGAGCGCAATATTCCGTTGAGTCCGTTTCATTTTTCAGGGTTGCAGAGCCCTGAGTCCGAAGAAGCTGTACGCGTAGTAGTCCCGGCTTAGACAAGTCCTGAATTATTGAGTAAACACAACGTATGACCGTCAAAACTGTCGTCGTTTAATAAAGCATTTATACTAGATATTTTGGCTCACCAAAAGCAAAAAAGCTCAAAGCTAATAGCTCCTATACATTTGTGTGAACGTATTTGATGGGAACATTAAGTTACAACTTACCCCACGACCCCTCGATTTTCTGGAGTAAACATTTTGACCCTCGACATTTCTTCACCCTACAACGAAACGTAAACCGCACAGGATATGGTTGCGTGAATAATTCTGATCGACGTTTAATTGATCTTCCCAACTATTCCATCATATAAAACTGATAGGTCTGAAGTGAAAGTGATGTGCATGTTAACAAAGCAATCGCGAGATTGCTCCCCGTAAAATGTTGCCATGGTGCAGTGTAAATAAGTTATAAACCCATTAAAGTTTTCAGTTATGGCTTCCATTTTCAATTCAGTCTGAGTGTACAGTGTATGGCCTAAAGGCTGCCCTTTTCTGCCTATCAGCGTAAGAAGTATTTTGCAGATTGTTTGTGCTATCTAGTTGAGCCATTGATCCTAACCCGTGTGCATCAGTAATCCTGTGTTCCGGGGCAGCAAATAGGGGACAGCGCTAGTTAGTCGTTAGTATCGTTTGTGAGATAGTTCGTGCATCTTAGCACGATTTTCTCAGGAATGATGCAGGTGGCATTAAAAAGATGTCCTCTCTTGCTTCCTTGAAGATTGTATATTTGTTGAAACTAGCATGGATTACAGATAAATGTTTGTTGAGATAGTGAGCACGTTGCAGCAGTATTTATTCATTTCAAAATCTTTAAAATGCACGAATTTGAAAATATTCAGAAAGACATAGTGAAATTTATGAGTTCCAAATATTTGTTAATACCTCCATTGATATTTGAAGCATACCCCGTCTCCAAGCAAATTGAAATATGACCTATTCACAAACGGTAAAACCTCTCTTCCTATAATACCAGAACTGAAAATGGACGTGAAGTCTTATTCACATGACAATCTGAGAGCTGGCGATATACAATCAAGTGCTTTTAATTTGATTGGGCCCTTAGCGAACACACATTATCAGTGTGCCTCTTGTCCACAGGTGCGAGTTTATGGAGGGTTTCCATTGAAATTACACAGGTGTGAAAAGTGGAGAACAGGTACGGGCGGAAAATAGAAGCAAGTTTGCAGCTTTTCCCTAATGTTCAGCCATAATATTTCCCCATAATATTCATATGAACCCTTTGATATATAGGCCTACAAGAAGGTCGAGCATTTGCGTTAAAACGTAAATAAATTGTCTATTTTATTATTCTGTGGATGAGTGACTATGTGCTCTTTATGTTAATAGTCTACGTTCTATTTATTACCAGTTAACGTCCATATTTCTGTCAAGTTATTGCGTTCTTTATGATTTTCATATCGCTTCATTTGTTTAATGTTTATCACAATAGGGATATCAATGTTGCACGCATTAATCGAGAAACCAATGCCGTAGCCGCTTCATTTCTTTTTGTCACATTCTAAATGTACTACTTCTATATGGTGATGTTGAAGAAATGCATCGAGTGCGGCAGAAGGTTTATGAATCTTGTCCATACTATCATCAGCTCATGATTTCCGACGAACGATCGGAATGGAAACAGTGCGTATGCCAATTTTCTTTTAAAAGAAAAGTTTAACTTGACTCCCCTCTCGATTATGCTGTGCCAAGGAGACGCACAGTCAACAATTATACTTCAACAAAGTTAAAGCTGCGCACCAAACTCTTAGCAATGTAAACACAAACTACCTTGTAAACAGGTGCTACAGAGCATTTCCACGAGAGATCTTTCACAGAGCAGATATGGAACATTCCCACTGGCCCCCTTTAATGGCGGAAAGCGCTGTGACGGGCTTGCACTTGGCTCTTGACGCGGAAAAAAGGCTCCGTATAATAACAATCACAACGCTCACTGCCATTGATTGGGGCCACTGCAACGACCATGCAGTAATAACGGTCATCGCATTGGTGTGTGGACAAGCCCCTTTTGTTAATCGAAGTTATAAGACCGATTGCGCCCGCGCAGTCACATAACCTATAGTGGGTATCAAACTAAGCAGAAGTGCTGAGTATTACACCGGAAACCGACTTTTATTTTGGTAAACAACATTTAAAACACACTTTGCTATGGGAGAAAGAGATGTTAGTTGATGTTTGATACCACTATAGGTCACGCGACTTCTATTCTCTCCCCGACGACGACAATCCATCTATTGCCAACGCGAGTTCCAGAGGACGGCGCGAACAACGAATTTCTGTCCTCGCCTGGCAAAATAACTGTCATTCATGGTTGGAAAAGCCAACATTTCATAAATAGTTGACCCGATGATAGCGGATAGTTATATTTGGCGGTGGAAGGTACTTCACACTTATGAATACGTGCACTTTATTCGTAGGCGAGTTGACGGACTGGGCTCGGTCGCTGTTCACTGAGTTTTTCTCTCACTTGGGGACGTGAACAAGATTTCGCCCTTAAGCTGATAATCGGAGCATTTTTCAAAGCACGCACAGAGGTGAAAAACTTTTGCCATGATCACCAAGGGGTTGCTCGTCCTCATGTTCAGCCTGGCAAACGGCCTGGCACTTTTCGCCGTCCATGTAAAGGGAGCGACGCCTAATTCGGACACCGAGGCCACTGGGGACAACGTGAAATCGCTTTCGGGGGAGTTTCAGCAGCGGATCCCCATCTACATAGGGGGTTTTTTCGCTTTACCAAACAACTCGATCTTTGGTGCTCTCCCCTCCACGGTGCAAACAGCCATCGATCATATCAACAATCTGACGGGAATACTGGACGGATACAAGCTGAAAATGCGCTACAGACTGACCAATGTAAGTAAAGCAATTACACACAAATTAGGCCACAACTGGTGACACGCCAATTGTGTTTTTACCTTAGGTGTGAAATGTCTGTCTAAAAACAATCACTTTGACAGTGACATAAATAAGCTATGTTGGCGGAAAAATGAGGGAGTTATTGAGACAACCTTTTAGAATATACAAGCCAATAAACAGTTAACATCCCGTGCATGAAAATTCAACTGCTGTTGCTCAAAATCTTTGTTCACCAAGTTGGCACTTCGTTCAACGTTGAAAATATCTCAACGGGAATATTTTTTTTCTCAAACAGCGGTCAGATTGTATCAGATTTATGTGATAATCACTCCACCAACTTGCCTGATAAAAACGATTCGGGGCTACTCTATATAGCTTTCAAAAGTGATGCCCGGTATTTTATGTGCCCTACAATAGCGAACTTTTTAAATCTTACGATGTCTTATCGCGTATTCTGTAAGGCAATTGAGATAACATTTAGCAACTTTGTAAATGCTTTTTGAACCTTTAATTTAATTTCAAGATCTAAAACTGCGGTGATAGCGGGAGCCACCTCGCACCCCACCCTCACTGGCTACTATCATTGCGAAAGAATTTGATCAGTTTTTGTACAGTTGTAAATTTCTTTTAACTAAATGTAAGCAAGTACACACAACCCTGCTGCCAAACCAACAGAGTGCACGTGTGTCCCTCCGCGAAAGCAAAATGTCCCTTGGGGGACCATATTATCTTCTCTTGAGTATTCGCTCTTTTAGCTGAACCTCATACATCAGAAAAAAGGAAAGGAAAAGCTTTTTTTCTGAATCCTGGAGAAACGACTGATATGAATTGCGATGCATTGGCCTATATTCCACTGTTTTCCACATAGCTTAATCAATGTTAAGTGCTGATTAATCTTTTCCTCAACTGAATCGACTAGGCGAAATGCGAGTTCTCCCTGTACTTGGAAGATATCCCGCCTAGGAACAATGGTGCTTTCGCACTAATGCATCCTTTAAAAAAATCCATGCAGCAGAGTTGATCCAGCCCCCACGGGGTCAGAATTGACCGAAACCTTCCATCTGAGGCCCCCAAATTCTTGGACATCAAAGCACTCCTGATTATTGACTATTCTATTCAATCCTGAGACAGAATATAGGTAAGGCGATCGAACTTACGAAAGTTGAGGCAGTAGTACAGAAGAGTTTAGAAGCATTAAACCATAAACACAGGGGTGCTAAAACCACCTGTAAGACTATTTTCAGGGACACACACACAAGCTGACAATTTATTTCAGGTCGTTTTCTTCCTAGTAGAAGAAAACCTTTTCCAACCTTTTACCGTCAGAAAACTTTCCAAAACTTCGTAATTCCACAAAACTCCATGTATGAAACTCTCAACACAGTACGGGACAACTCAGTGAGAGATATTGTGAGCACGTTGCAGCAATTATTTCCTTTCTCGTTGACATACCGTAGAAAGTCCAGGGTATGCATTTGATTTTGGCCCCGCGATCCCCAAAAGGTTTATAGATAAAATACATTCAGTCCCAGCTGAAAAAGAATATTGACAAGAATTCCTGGAGGACTAGCCAAGGACCCAAACTGCAAACTCATCCTCTTTACCGAGATAAAATTACACATTCTTTTTCTATTTGCAGGGTCTGCCAAATGAAGCCTTGGGGTTTCTCAACGATCTCTTGTATGAAGGTCCAACCATACTAATGGCAGCCGGACCGATATTCTCCCGTCAGGCCTTGGTCGTTAACGAGGTAGCTCCTCGGTTTAACGTAGTCCAGGTAACACAATTTGCTACAAAATAATTGAGAAATCTCCTCACTCTTCCAGTCCATCAGAGCTTGCATTCCATGATTAGCCGAAGTTCCTTGTTTGTTATAACGAAACTTTGTGTTCTGAATAAAATAGAGAGCTCAACCAAGAGGCAGTTGCATCAGTGTAGTACACCATTCCAGTGTAGCGAAGCATTACCCAATGGCAAGCCCGATGACCATGGTAATGCAATCGCTGGTACAGCTTTTAGCTGAGGGCGTTAAGCATAACTCTTGCACGGAGCCACTACTCCTGAACAGTCCAACACAATGCTTTCCGCCATTAAAAAAGTCCATTTTGAATTTCCGGTTAAAGTTCGCATGATTCGTCTACAGGAAAGCAATATGTTGCATCATCAAATTAGGCACCAAATGTTTCGAGAGAAACCGTTTATTTACCTCAATGGCATTACAATATAAATTCCCCTGGGTGTGAATGTTCCAAGGGTAGATGAAACAGGCATCTGTTGGCAGTTCTTGCAAGTGTATAATTTACAAAAGTGTTGGTTTAGACTTCCCATGTAAGCTGATGAGGGGACGGGAATAGATGAATCGGGTTTACACAGCGTTCCGATACGGACAATTTCCTGCCGTTCACCTTGGTGACAATGTATGGTGCACTCCACAAAAGCACAGTAATAATGTTTGCGGAGCATGAAGCATTTACCTTAGCCGGTAAAATAAGCTGCCACTTTTAATATGGGTCTAGATTGGAGATATTGCCTCGGCTCCCCGAAGTGTATTACTCACTCGAAGATGACCGGCCTTGTAAATGATTGTGCACCATAGCATTAGACCTTGCTGTATATTAACATGAGCGAACACGCGAGGTGGACAGTGGATGTCATAATTATTCCGTGTGGCGAGCGATATCGCCGAATTAATAAACTACAAAATGTTGGAGTACACGTTTCTCTCTTATTTACCCGTCCAGTGCGCTGAAAACGCCCAGTCTGATATTAAGTGCCAGGGTTGTATATACAATGTGTATCGTTCGGTCCAGCGAATCTTTCTTGTGACGGATGAGGTAGAACGAATAAGTACATTCATTATGGGAAACGAAAAGTGCGTTAGGGAGTAACAATGGTTTGTGAATTAATGTAAGAAAAAGATATCGTCTGCCAAGTATTGAAGAGTTTTCAAATCGTTAGTAGACTCCGAGGCATTTATGTGCTTCACAACGCGCATTTTCCAGTGTTGTCCTTTAGATCGTTCCGTTTACATGTAAACATATATGAAGAGAACTCTTTAACGTGAAGAATCCAAATGTAGTCTAAATGAGGAATTTGCTCGAGTAAGGAAGATTGGTGGAAAGGGTAATGTCGTGACATAGCCTAGACTTCACTCTTCAAATAATTATGTTTTCTAATGCCAGGAGGAGCACAGGCTGGTTGATCATGTGTGAAATTACATTGATTGCCCGGGAATAAATCGAGTAAATTTATTTGCCCAAGATGGAAATTTGCAGTATTTGTGTTGAAATAGTGCAGAAATGATGATTTACGCAAATTTCCTGTGCTTTTGTAAATTGATTAATTCTTCAAATGAAAAAAAATAGTTAGTGTAGCATTGAAAATATTCATTCATTTTGTATAATCAAGTAGCGTCAAGACAAGATTACACAACTTTATTGTCTCTGGGAATATTTTGAGGATTTTGCTTTCTACTTTTTTATGATTACCAAATCATTGCGCAATGAGGAGCGTATTCTCTGCAACGCACTAGCTATCTAATCCAAACCACTTGATGCACTCTTTGATGCTGAAAAGAGACAAGTGATGCGTTACGAGTGTTTTCGTTGAGCATGCCTGGCTTTGAAACCAAAGAATAACTCAATCGCGCCACAGGCACTGTTGCGGCCTGATGAAATCCGCACAAAGAAGGCATTAAGCAGGAGTAGGTGCTGTGGCGACGGTTGAAATATAAGGCAAAGCAGAGTGTATCGGAATAAAGTAAGGTCAGTTAAATTGTGTGTCCTTGAGAAGGGGCATGGAATGCTGGACAGTGTAGTCCATGAATGTAGTCCACTCAATTGATCTGGACGAAATTTGTGTACTGTTTCCCCCCTTGAAGGTTTGTCTAGCCAACTCGCAAGCACTCCGTGACCGTGAGAGGTACCCGCTCACCGTGCAGATGTACTGGAGCGAAGACAGCGTCAACCCAGCGAGGGTGGCATTCGTGCGATACATGAGTTGGAGAAGGGTCGCCATCATATTCGAGGACAATGAGTATTTCCGCACGGTAACTTGAAGGTCCATTCATACACGCGAGCGGTAACGACGGTTGCTGAAAGAGGCACGCCATGCGCGATATTCACACACACGCCTACCCGTGTACAAAAGGCGAAATCCCGTACTGCATGGAAAACATTACATCGATCACTGACAATGGCGCTTCATAAGCAGAATGTGACGCAAACGAGGAATTGCTCAACCATTTCAGTTGGTCCTTCACGTTATACCCAACGAGAACCTTGATTAGATAGATTACCGATGCTAGTCAAAAGACCTCGGAGCTAGTTTTTCTCAAAGAAATGACGGAAGAGTACTGTCCGGCTGGAAAATTCAGAGACGTTTGGTGCTAGACACGAGGGCAACCAATATTCAATCATTCAACAACAACCCCCCTCTTTCGTTCAAAGCACATTCTACATTTCACGTCATCCTTGCCGAAAAGCGCTTCAACGATGATACGTGTTCTGGTTTCTAACAAAACCAGGAACATTTCTGTTCGTGTTTTAGCTGAAAAAAATTCTACTGCATGCTTGTCTGCAAAATATTGCGGTTTGCCTAATAATTAGGGCCTACAGACCTTTGCCTTCCGTTGGGAAGGTTTTAATATCTTATGAGGTGAATCTCAAAGTCGTGGTTCTTTGCAGAAATGGGAAATAAATTTCATGTCTGATTCCATTTGATTTGGGCTTTGCCTTTGTCGTGTGTACGTAAGATAATCATTTAAATGAGGCCACTTCAACCTGTAGATTTGGCCATTTGTGGCAGTCAGAAATTAAATATTCTAATGTACTTGTGATCTGATTTTTAAAAACAAGACTGGAATAATGTCAGCTTCTCCCAAAACAGACCAATTTCAAAGGAAACGCAATGAGTGAAATTACAACTTAAGAATGTCTATTTTCAAAGGATTGCTAAACTTACTCAATTTAGAACGCAGAAGATCTCCGGGCCAAACTAGAAGCAGCAGGCATCACCGTGAGGGCGACTGAAGCCATAAGTGACTCCAGTAAACCCGACCAACAGTTACGAAGCCTTAAGGTAATTTTGTGATCAGACCATTTTGAAGAATCGTTATGACTGTCGTGCTCCCAGTTGCCTGATATTTGAGAGTCACCCTAATTCGGATACATTTTACCAGACACGGGTACTTCGAACTAGGTTAATTATTGTGTATACCCGTCACAACGCATTCCATAATAATGCCTACTAATGTATCTTAACCCCCCCACTCAGTATTTTTGACATTATACGTGAGCGGATAGCACATGGTAGCCACATCTTCCTTTAAAAAGTATCATCCACTAAAGTCGTCAGAAAATCTAACTCGTTAATTATAGTAGCTGCGCCATTAAGACTATACCCATTAACAAGGAAGGAATTATTTTTTCAGTGCACATTTGGTAATTCCTGCGTACGGTGTAAAGGGTCTTTCTTCGGTCAAATGGTATTCGGTTTGTCTCTCAATGGCTTGATTCTTTTTGAATTTGAGACAAAACGTTTGACAACTCTTTCCTGTGTTGTCCAAAGATTCTCTGCCCTCATAGCCGTTTAAAGAAAATGCTTTTCCCAAAATTGGTAATGAAAGGGAAAAAAGACACATACGTAAGTGACCTTGGAGATCGACAGCGCGCATAGACCATTAAATGTCACGTGGAATGAATGCACGAAGTGTCTCATAACCTCCAGCACTCTTGTACGAAAGACTAACAGGTATTTAACTGTACGCCGAATGTGAAGCCATGTCGGGATATCTGAATAAAGTACACGAAAGATGTGTGTTACTTCCCCGGTTAGTTCACAGTACTGTTTAGTTCTCAATACTGGTAATGGTTAAGAAGGTCCTTGTTTTTTAAACGTCGGCCGGCAAACTAACACGGTACATTTTACCAGAGTATTGATAATCTAACTTGCTGAGTTCTTGTCAATGTTGTTAGTGAGCCTACGCGTTGTTGTCAATGAGCCTCTTCTAAGCCATACCCGCCGCCTTGGGTGCAGACATGTCTTGGCTTTCAGCTGTGGATGCAAAACATTTTTCTTGTGAGAGTGAGACAGTTTGTTACAGAAAAGTACAACTTGGCTCTTGAAGTGGCTTCGTTATGATAAAATTACAGTGAACCACAAACATGTTGTATAAATTCGTTACTCTTTTAGTGCTTTGCCATTTATATGAAGTTTTACGTCGGAACCTGGTCAATCGTCTTGGGTTGTGCATTATTAAAAACCGGTGGGAACCCTGAAAATATAAATATATTTTGAACTCTTAGAAATGGATAGGAATGACGGGGATTTGATAGAAGCAGGTGCACATTAAATTAATCAAGGTTTCAATAATAAAATCTAAATGACGGATGAACTTCAAATCTCATTCTTGCCCCAAAAGCTAAATTAAATTTTTAAAAAAGAAAAAGAAAGACGGACACCGAAATTAAAAACAAATAGGAGGGGGTTATTTAATAAGGTACCTTTGGGAGCATTAGCTCACATTTCCATCCTGCCAATTCGCGCATTAAGTTTTAAAATATATTATTTTATGTCTTGCAAAAATAGTAGGAAAACAATTGAAAATACACCTTTGTGTTTACTTTACCTTATTTTAAGGTTTTGCTTTTCTATTTTAACAAGTATCGGGGTGCCCTTTAGATCTTTAATGAAATTCAAATTACCATATTCATGAGCAAAATAGTGATGTCGTCCTATAGGTACAAACTACGGGCAAGTTCAATCAACGGACATTGTCAGCCAGTGGTCGATATTGAGTGGTAACATAATGCATGACATATATATCGGACACCAGCCAAAATCGATCAGTAGTTAGGAAATTGTCGCTGACCGAGCTTGCCCCATAATATTACTTCGATATGTACACAAAACACAGTTGGAATTTCGATATGTAGCTGTTCTGCATTACTTTTCTTTGCTGAATTGCGTACATTACTGTCATTAGCTATCGAAAAACCTTTTCTTAGGAATGCACTCTGGAAACAAAATTTGGAGATCACGATTTGCATCCATTGGAAAAATCAGTGATCAGTGCTGCTCAGTGCCTTTTCCGAATGAAAGCACAACAGCAGCCACTCAGCTGTGTTTTAAAAAAAGATCTTTTCCATAATCTTAACCCAAAATGGTGTCAATGTTTTTCAGACAATGAAAAAGAGCATGGAACGTTTAATGGTTCTAAAAATTTATAGAACCATTAAAGGGTCCATGCAATACTTTTCTGCTACCGAAGTAATTGGTGCGAAACACTACATCAATTGTAGTCATCTTTTTCTGTGTTTTTTTTTCAGAGGCACGACGCAAGAATCATTTTCGCTTTGTCGTACTTTGACACTGCGATAAAGCTCTTCTGCACGGTAATTTTTTATGTGTTTTTAACATTAAAACAAACATTGACATATATATGATACTTTCGATGCCATGGTATTGCTAGTCATACGCGACAGGTCAAGCGAATTTCATATGGGGTTTTTGGAACATAACTAGTTTCCAACAACTTAAATGAACCGCAAGTAGAAAAATGTCCTCTTTGGAATTTGCACCTTAAAGGTAGACTCTATCGTATGGTAAAATTTGATGGCGGCTTAGGAACAGGCAAAGTCTTTTTGTTCCAGTTTAAAAAGTACTTTCCAAAAGTAGAGTTTATCTGTAATGCACGGCGAGGAAAGTATATGGCATTAATTGGATTTTTTACCGTTAACATAGTTTGCAAACATTTGATTTCCATTGGAATGAGGTGTTTTATCATTTTACCTTCCTACAACCGAAGAACAACCTAAGCTGTTGGTTTGACTCATGAATAAGCAGATTGCTGCTACATTGCCATTGGTTTTTATTCACATCCATATTATCAGAGGTATAAGGGAGTACTTGTCGAGGTGTACGGTTCACACCTTCATATACACTGCAAAAACCGTGGTGTTAAGCCTCCGTCGTTAAAGGACCATGCCAACACGTTTCACCGGTGTTAAAACTTTTAGTGTTATTTCAGCGCTGTTGGTGTTACTTTTAACACCCACCTTCCAGTTGCATTGTAGCACTTGTAGGTTGTAAAGTAACACCAGCGGTGTTAAGGTAACACATTTTTGTGTGGTCATTTGGTAGCACCAAAAGGTGTTGTTTCTAACACCACAGTTTTTGCAGTGTAACTAGCCATCTTGAGTATTACTATGGTTTAGCAAATTCGCAGTTGATTTAACCTCAACGGGTCCAGAATGCTGCTGCTAGGCTTGTATGTAGTAAACCACGATGCAATTCATGTCCAACCAACCATTGCCAACGCCAGCTCGTATGCCACTGAAAATCCTTCTCTTGACCTTCAAGGTTCTTCATACTCTTTATACATGGCGTTTGCTTCTGGAATGTCCATCTGGAAGCATGTGAAAAACTGATGGGACTGTGCAAAGCACTTCTTTTAAATAGGAGCATTGTTTAAATTTTAATCGATGAATTTGTGACGAAGCCTACATGGATTTTTAACTACGCGTATACGTAGTTCTTTAAACTGGTAAAGCGCAAATATATCTGCTCAAAAATAAATAAAACAATTGTTATTGGTATTGTAAAACACAATTTACATATGGCACATTTAGGTAATGGCCTGTGAATTAACGTAGATTACCACAGGCTGAAAAAAAGGTTTTCATCTTATGTTGCATTGTTGCACTCGTGAGCACGAATTACCTCACGAAAATTTGACTTGGAGGCAAATATTTCTCGAGACGCCTGTTTCCAGCCGATGGCCTTCGAATAGGAATATGGCTGCTGTGAACTGAGATGCTGGTCCAAAATGTGAAATTCGTCAGATAAATGTTTAAAAATAAAAATTCCTTTTACCCCATTTTAAACAGCCCCATTCATTTCTGTGAACTAAATCAACAACGTAAATGGGTTCACACAATCAACGTTTTTGAGTTCGAGGTCGCAAAATTTTATTTGGGAGCACTTACGAGATTGTATTTTATTTTCTAGGTTAGGTTTTTGTACATGGAGAATTGTCATAGTGCTCGTGCAGCTCTTATACCACTGAAGAATTTACTGTTTGCTAAAATCTCAAACCTCTCCCCTTTCAAGTTATTCAGCTATAGATATCAACTTGGATCGACGCAACACTGCCTATATTTGGGATGAAAGTTTAAACCATAGGTTGAAGTTGAACCTAGTTTCAGTTCCAATCAGTTCAGGTCCTAGTGTGATCCAAATTCATGCCTATCTTAAACAGTATGTTATTGCAAAGCCAGAAAGCTGCAAGGCATGTATCATGTGCAGTGCTTTGTTAGGATCTTTTTACTACAATATGGCAATCAAGCATACAGTTCTCTCAACCTGCCCATGGCCCGCCAAAAACGTTCACTTTCCCATTTGTGCTCAATGCCGTTAGTAATGTGTGTCGCTGCTTCAGTTTAAACCACGCCAACAGCATATAGATTTAGGCCGTGTCCGAAACGGGCTTCCATAACTACGGCTAAGTCTATTGTTTGCGCGTCTCCACACATTTCCAATGGAGCGAAGACCTAGACCTACCTCTAGACAAAAGATTTGGGTGCAGCCTCAGTTTTACATGGAACCATGGCCCCGAAGTTAATGAGCGACTTGAGTATTCGTCCAGTGGGAGCTTGTAACTTGTGCGTGCGCATTTATTACCAGGTCACTTCCAAACTTACACGTGTGAGGCTATGAAATGTTAATGACCATGACAACAAAACCCACGTTTGGAATGAATAGAAACTTTTCTGATATTTTTATAATCCGTGTGTTTACAAACCAAGATGGACGGAAATCGGGTATGAGATCATAAGAAACTTGAGGGGCGGACTCCACCCTCTTCCAGGCATTACATGATCTAAACGAGCCCGGGTCGTTTAATACAATTTTAGTACATCCAACATTAAGGCACAGAAAACTGTGAAGCAGACGTGATTAACACACTTTTCGCTTATACATTGTGACTTTTAAAATTAAAATTCAGTACCAGTAAGTGAAGAATAATACCTTCATTCACCGAATTCATCAATGCATTCATTTCTGACACGCTTTATTTTCATGAGTTGATTTTGATTTTTGTCGATTGCATTTTAGGTTTTCCACATGCAGATGTTCGGTGGCAAATACGTCTGGACCCTTGTTGGTTGGTATCCAGAGCAGTGGTGGACGGCGGTGGATAACGTCGATTGTACTGCCGAGCAGCTGCAGATGGCACTGGAGTATCACTTCTCTGTGTCTGCCTGGAGATCCGTAGATGATCTGGGAGAAATCCACTATGGTGAAATAGTAGGCTGAAAAACGAAGTTTAATAATTCAACGAAAAATCCGAAATTGAAACTATAACGTTGCCATTGTTTAAAGAGGCTTACCCCATTTAACATTTTAAAGTGGTACAAATGTTAATATTATTTTCGCCCGCCTGTTACGTTCATCACCCGGTTTCATAGAAGTTACGACTTTCTTAATTATACTATTATAGCAACCACCAGAGTACCAGCTCGACTTTCTGCGTGGTCTCCTAGCAAAAGAGGGTGTAGACAGACTGGAACATATAGAATCTTACGACGTTCTCGTCCACATAGCAATGTCGTTGAATCGCTCCATTGAAAGGCTGGCGAATTTGAACCCTCCGAAGGCGCTGCACGAGTTTTCGTACACCGACAGCGAAATGTCACAAGTCCTCCTGGAGAGTGTCTACCTGACTAGCTTCGTTGGGCCAACAGTAAGAATTAGTGTGGCACCCAAACATTCAAACTGTAATATATTCAGACCTGTTGGATAGTTGCTGAATCAAGGATAAAGATTGCCAAACTTGCCAAGTTCATCGTTACGCTCGTTTTAAAGTAAGGGTTCTAAGGCTTTCACCTTGGTCTGTATTACTCAAGATCTTAAAAACTCTAGTTTTTAATTGGAACGGTTTCTGTAATTCTTTCGAAATTTTTGTAACTGTTTTTGAGTTTATGGTTGAAATGGAGTATTGTTGCCAAGATGTCCGCAGTGGTCTAAAATCGCTGTACATTTTCACTTTAGTCTATACTTTCCTCTCTTGTTACACCCCTTATTGCTCTGCAGGGTTCTGTTTTGATCGAAGATGGTGGATTCAGATCCAAGAAAAACGTTCGTTTTTTCATATTGCAGTTCCGAGGTAAGTCATGGACCTGTGAGCCTTGTTTGCATTGCTTTTGTAGATTTTTAGCTCGGTATTATGTCAATACTGAATTTGCTGCCTTTTAATTAAACTTTCGAAGTAATGGCAGTAATAAAAAATGCCTTGTTTCTGACTGGTTTTACGAGAGATCTCGTGGCTCTCCATATTGTTTCATGTTTTGTTCGAAATAATTATTCAAAGCTGTGATTCTGTCGTCGAACCCAAACCCTCTTTTTATGAGTATCATACAGCTGACATTTTGTTCGGCAAAAAAGTACCGATTTGCTAATATGGGCGATTCACAATTGTGTGCCTGCAAGAGTTTGCAACGCGTTGACAAATCACAGTGCGCGAAATCTGTCGACCCAATGCGCGTTTGTGATTGGTCAACGCGTTGCGAACACTTGGAGGCGCACTATTGTGAAGTGATGTGATGTTCATTGCAGACGGAAGGTCAACGGAAATAATCGAATATGACGACGGCTCTTCGAGTTTCCGTGCAGTGGAAAACAGGAAACTTCACTGGCCAGGTATTGTGGGGTGTTGGCAAGGCATTAGTGTGGTCATAAACTACGGATCCTCCTCAAATTTCAAGCTAAAATGACGGTCAAGGCCTTTTTGTAGCTCTGAAAAAAAAATGTGTGTTGTAGTCGAGTCCATCACCATGCTTGTCAGGAGCCTGTCACAAGTAACCAAAACCAGCATTCACCTTTGTGCATTTCCTTTTTGTTGAAGTTGTGATCTTGTGATTTGTCTTGAGACAGGATGTTCGAATCTTTTGACTGGCAATGGTTTTCGCGTAGCTCCCTCTAAACGGAACACTCATTTACAGTCCATTCATCACCTCCATTTAGTTAATGCAACCATAGTATTAGAAACGTCATTCCCGAACCGATTTCGTCTCCTGGTATTTCTTCACTGTCCTTGCCAAGGAAGTTTTTTCAACAATGGGGTAGCAGTCCCATAATCGGCGCTTCTGAATTTGTGTTTAGGTGGGAGGGGACTGGCAAATGTGTGTGTGGGGGGGGGCTTCCGAAGGCCATCACGTATAAACCTTCTTCACCCACGTGACTTGATGACGTTAAATGTAAATAATACCACCACGTGTGGTCCGCCATTGCCACAGTGGTCGCAGTATTCCTGTGGGCACTTTCAACCACGTACAAGCGCACGTTCAAACGCTGCACTGCATGCTTGACTATAGTAGATTACCATCACACCACTATCCTCTCATTACCATCACAACACATCGCGGTCCGGCACGATTGTAGCCTCACAGAGAAAAGATCTATGATCAGCGGCTGGATTCGGACCTCCTAAATCTTTGATCGTGAGTCACTAACTGTGCCCCTTGCCACACTCGTCCAGCAATGGCAACACATCGGAGATGACATTTAGCGAACAGTTAACAATCTACTGCCATGTAAAATGAAACTGTGACTTTATTACATTTTATTTTTCGGTTAACAGACGGATCACCCCCAGTAGATGGAAAAACAATTATAATCAAAAATGGTGAAGTCAGTCAACCCGTCCAACTCACACTCTTTGTTTTTGCCTCGGTGGGAATAGCTTTGGATACAGTATTTCTTTTCATAAACATCAAATTCAAAAGACAAAGGTGAGTTTCGTTATTTTTAAAACCACAGACATTTACTGTCATTCCAAAAGTGCACAAAAAGCATATTTTCCCAAATACCATCAAGTTCAACTTTCCAGTGAATGCAATTGTGACTCAAACTGATGTTGAGAATGTTGGATTGTCGAGAACCTGCTATTTATTAAGCCAGCTTTTATCATACCGATAAATTTATCATCGAGCTGGATATGGATATTGTATTTTCACTTTTAGGGCAATAAAGATCTCTACGCCACCCCTGAACAACCTGATCGTCCTTGGCAGCCTCCTGCTCTACACGTCCGTCTTCTTGTTTGGATTGGACCAGTCCATCTTCACAGATAAAGAAATAATACGAATCTGCCTCGTGAGTCTCACGTTAAGTAATATTTCGAATAACTTGTGACCGTTGTTGACGCCCTATGTCCTTTATCATCGAATTCCTCAAAGAATTTTTGAAATCTTGGTAATATTGTGGTACTTAAAAATCCCTATTTACATAATGTACGCGATAACAGACGGTGTTTTGACTTTTCTAATTACAACGAAGTCGTACGATTTAATCTTGTCAGGTATCTGGCAGATATACTGTTCTGTCCTCTTTTGTTGAAGTGGTTATGTTGAGTCAAACAAGTGGTTTAAGTTTTCTTTTGACCTTTAACAAACGCTGATGAGTCGGTTTGAAGGGAATGATGTTATCGAGCCTTCTATTTAATATTGACAGTTTCAGCAAAAGAAAGTGGAATGTAGACAATGAAATAAAAAACCTTAGCAACAGATAGCTGAGAACTGTTCTCTGAATTTGCTTTTATCCCTAACAGATAAAGTACAGCCTAATGTGCATCGGCATCTCTTTGGCGTTTGGAGCACTTTTCATGAAAACCTACCGAATCCATGCAATATTCAGCAGAGCTGTCGCCAAATTGAAACGTGTGGTAATTACATGTAGTAAATTGACAGGGTTCCTAACTTTATTTTGCTATAGGATGGAAGCCAGTCTGTGGCCAGGCAGTGGTTTCTTATCGCTTTGTCCTACTGCGAATTTGAGGCAAGAAAGCCAATTGTCTCGTGGCCAAGTGAAACGGGTTATTGAGCAGGAAGCAAGTTCGACTGAGAACGTTACAGTCAAATCGTATGGTTCAACTAACACCCGATCGGTTCCATGCTCATGGCTGGTATAGTCTAGTAGACTTTCAGGACAAGCCTATTCTATTCGGAAGTGTGACGCCACTTAAGATAAAAGTTAATACCACGTCCATTTCACAGAGAAGTTTAGGCCTACTTGGAACCGAAGAACTGGAAATTTGTTTTGTTCGGTTTATTTCCATACATCACAATTGGAACATAAAGAAACAATGTTATTAAAGAATGAAGTAGGAGATGGCGAATGGCGGATTCCAGACTTTAAGCAAACACTCGTTCATGGCCTGGTTCCTTATTTGTTACAATAATATCTATATGCAGCTATAATTACAAGATAGAGGAGAGAGAGAGCAAAAAAGTAAAATAACGGTAGGTACAGCTGAACGTCAGAATTAAGTAAAGGTTTTGATTGTCACAGCATCTTGGGAAGTGAACACAAATCTATATATGACTGCTTCATTAAAATAAATATGAATAATTAAAGAAATTAATGTGCAACTAGGGTGTTATCCACTAGGAATTTGTAATCTGTGGTGCGTGTGCGTGTATGACGTCAGAGGACACTTACGAACAGGATACTGAGGTTTTTTGCATCCCGTGTTATCGATAGCCATGTGATCCAGGACCGTTGAATTAAGTATTTATGACGCCATAT